ATGAAGGGTAGTTTCTAGGACAGACTATATGAAGTATAGTTTTTTATTCCAATTTTTATATTTTTCGGAGACACTGGCAAAACTGTCTAAGTTAGGAGACGAGTTCGGAGAGCATGCCCTCGGTACCTCAGAACAGGTTGTTCAAAGAAGTTATCCTTGCACCCACATGTAGATTATTCAGGAAGCGCATACACTCTTGGCGACTCGAGAACACCCTTCATGAGGGGAGGTAGCGCAGGTTTAAGTACTGGCAATTATACGAATCTATGGCCTGTAATGGTAATACGTAAAATGGAGCCTCAAGTGATGAGCAGCTCTGTCTACAAGCATTTCAGGCAACAAGAAAGTCACTCGCGGAGAATGTTTTGGTTGACGAGTTTCCGTTCAGTTAACGAGTTATCAGTGCTTGTGTGTGCTTGGATTCTCGGTCACCTTCAGCCCGTCGGGAAACTGATGCAGTTTGGTTGGCTGCGTTTCGTAAGACAAGCGTTTCAGATGACGAACTCGGTGTTGGAACTCGGTGTACTAACTATGTTGTAAACATTGTGTTTTGACGTCAGTTTCAGCTACAAACATGCTTACTTTATATAACTTTTTTTCCAACCTTTTATTTTGGTCACACTTAGTTTTGTCATATAAGTCCGCACTTTAATTTTGCTCCATTTCACATAGTTTTACTTTCGTATATTAGCTTGGAGGATTGGCTGCCCTTTTTGATGGTTTTCAGTTGCTACTGTTTGTTCACCCAGCTTACTGTATCAAAATTGTTTGGGTTCTGTCGGGTCTGGATGCCCGAATGGCTATATCGCTTTGCCCTTGCTGATATCGGTTCCGATTTTGCCGAGGCTGCGTACTTGTACATTCTGAGTATTCAGATCTATCCATTTGCAAAATCTTGCTTTGACAATGTCCAGTAAGTCTGTTACGGTCGGCGTATATTTGAAAAAAAAACCCAGCTGGGGAGGCAGACGTCTTCTAAATCACTACAGCAAGACTGCTCAAGATAGTGCAAATGCTAATTTTCATCTAACAGCCCGTGCGATGTGTTGCTGAGGCTTTAGGATTTCCTGCCTCACATCCTCGCCAATTACACGGTGGCTGTTTGGTCAGTATTCGTCGACACTTGAACGGAATGTCTTCTATCTGTGGTCTATGTTTACTAGTGCGTTTGGTGGTTTGCTGCATTTCTTTAAGCCTAGGCCGAAGTGTTTTCGTTGGATGCCGACGTAAAAAGAGCGTTGCTTCAGTCCACAGCTTTGAGTGAAAAAATCATGTAGCTGTTCGTTCTTCTTCGGTCTCACTGTTGTATCGGTGAGTGGTGGGTGGCCGTCAACGTGGGCGGCAGTCGACAGACGGAGAGCATTTCGACACCTGGCAGAATGTTCTTTTCAGTTGTTTTGTGCTAACACCGCACTTTGGCTGCCCTCGGTTTCTGAAACAGACGGATTATACGACTGGTACATCCCCATAATGTGTACAGAGTGCGTTTGGAGCCTGTAGTAGTGTTCCACGTCATTCTTTACCGTCGTACCTGCGACCTGTAGCTTTTATCTGCACGAGGGCTAGTTGCCCTTGCAATATCAACCAGTCTTCCCATCTGTGCGAGGTAGTACGAGAATTTGTTCAATTTGGGGCCTGTCGTTTGCGCCTCAGAAGTGGTTATCGTTTGCGTCGAAGCGCTTTTCGGGAAAGCCCTACAGGGAAATGACGATACTGAGCTTGCATCTGAGCGCTGGTTGACTGACCTCGACTATGCGGATGATACCGCTTTACTGGCTTCGAGCTTTGACGATCTACAGTCTATGGTATCACGGGTGAAAGTGGTCACGAAATCGGTCGGTTTGTCCATAAACGCTGGTAAGACCAACGTGTTTTCATGCTGCATCCCTACCCAAAAGAAAACACTTCTCGAGATTAGTGGCTGTCAATTTGAAGAAGTAGAAGGTTTCATATACCTCCGAGCGAGGTTGCTGCCGAATAGATAAAGACGACATTGTCTCCCAAGTTGACGCAGCACGACGAGTTTTCTCGTGATGCGCAAGTGCATGTTTACGGGTTTGCTTGTGATCTTTCAGAGTATCATCAGGGATATCACCCTGATATAGATGAAAACAAATCTAGGTGCTTAGCATCATTGTGTTGTCTAAGGCGTGAATTAGCAAACGCATTCCTCATCCTACTGTCTCAACGGCCCACCTGACCAAGAGGCCATCGTGCAGTTCATCTTCTCCTTTGAAGCCGACCAGCATGCAAATGCGACGAGTTGGGATACTTCGGAGACCGTGAGTACAGTAGTTTTAATCGAACTTCGCGGTTGAAGTATTTACAGAAATCTGCTACAGGTGAAGTTCCCTGTTCTTGGCTTTTGGGTGGATCTCCACCATTTATAATAAGGACCTTTTTACTGCCAGTACCGTCTACAGCTGCCCCTGGTCAGTGACTTTTTACTTGCCAGCTGAAAGCAGGCGGGAC